GAATATGCTAATCAATGCTAAAAAACAAAGCTCACACTAACAGCAGTGGAACTAAAGGCCTACCTCAGCAGGCGGCGTTTAGGGGTCCTGCTGCAGATGGGCTCCGATGCCCAGTCTGCCGCCCCCCCGGTCCCTCCGTGTGCCGGCAGGACCCTTTACATGGGGGCGGCCATTTCATTCTGTTAGCACTGTTGTTATTTTAGTGGGATGCTGAGTTTAGTGAAGCCTTTCATTCTCTGATCTGTATATCACGCTAATTAGTGCTGATAATGACGGGATTCTAATACATGAATCATAACTTGTGGGAAAATATTTCATTTTCATGTGCAGTGCTGCATTTTAATGTGTGCATGGCCGCTTGTGGGGGCAGCACGCTGGGGGGGGGCAGCACGCTGGGGGGGGGGGGTGCTTGCGGCGCTTATGTACACGCTGTGCTGATCTCGCCTGCCATCCTTTCCCTCCTCGTCAGGCTCCCTAACTTAATTCTGAAAGTCACGCCCCATTCAGTCTGGGGGTGTAACCTCCTTAAGCCCCCTGGTTTAACAGAGTTACAGAGGGCTGGCTGGGGGGGGGACTTCCTCAATGAGGAGGGTTGCTGTTTCCACATAACTGGGTGGGGTTTAATGTCAGGGCAGGCCCCGAGGTCAGAGGTCCCTGGGGTACATTAACCTTGAAGGTGCCCCTTGCTTGTCCGGCGCTCTCTCTCTCTCTCTCTCTCTCTCTCTCTATCAGACTTCCTCTCTTTGCTTTTGATTTGTGTAACACCCCCCCCCATCTGATTTTTCCATCTTGTGGATTTGTGGGTTTGAGGTTATGCCCCCAGTTAAGTTTAGATCCTCCATGAGGAGGGGGGGGGATCTTTTGGAGTCTGACCTAGCGTTCTCTCCTCATCCAGTTATTGTAATAATTGTGTTCTTCAGTGGGGGCGTGCATTGTGACAGATCATAAGCGCATCGTGAGTTGGGGGGGGGGGGATTTTAACATATATTAGATCCATCGGCCTCAATGCCTGTCTGGCCCCCACCTACCTGATGGGGCTCGCCAGCAGTGCCCTCTTGCACCCATCCTCTGTTTTTGGCACCCCTGTCCTGAGGAAGGTAGTGGTGGTTACAGGGGGGTGCCGTAGCCCAGGCCTGTGAGCTGCGCGCAGCTTTCTGGCATTCTCACGCAGCGGGTAAAGTGGGACGTCTCGGTGGGGGGGGTAATCAGGCAGGCAGGGGGCAGGCAGGCCAGCTCTGCATCAGGAAGGGAACGGGGGCTTAAGGGGGTCACTGAACATCGCGGGCAGGCGGCGAGGCGTATGGGATCACTGAACACCACAGGCAGGCAGTGGGGCTTAAGGGGATCACTGAATACTGCGGGCAGGTGGCGGGCACTGAACATCGCGGGCAGGTGGCAGGGCTTAAGGGGATCACTGAACACTGCGGGCAGGTGGCGGGCACTGAACATCGCGGGCAGGTGGCAGGGCTTAAGGGGATCACTGAACACCGTGGGCAAGCGGTGGGCACTGAACACCGCGGACAGGTGGCGGGGCTTAAGGGGATCACTGAACACCGCGGACAGGCGGCGGGGCTTAAGGGGATCACTGAACACCGCGGGCAGGCGGCGGGGCTTAAGGGGACCACTAAACACCGCGGGCAGGTGGCGGGGCTTAAGGGGACCACTGAACACCGCGGGCAGGTGGCGGGGCTTACGGGGATCATTGAACACCGCGGGCAGGTGGCAGGGCTTAAAGGGATCACTGAACACCGCAGGCAGGCAGCGGGCACTGAACACTGCAGGCAGGCGGCGGGGCTTAAGGGAATCACTGAACACCACGGGCAGGCGGCAGGCACTGAACACTGCGGGCAGGTGGCGGGGCTTAAGGGGATCACTGAACACCACGGGCAGGCGGCAGGGCTTAAGGGGATCACTGAACACCACGGGCAGGCAGCGGGCACTGAACACTGCGGGCAGGCGACGGGGCTTAAGGGGATCACTGAACACCACGGGCAGGCGGCAGGGCTTAAGGGGATCACTGAACACCACGGGCAGGCGGCGGGCAGCTCAACGCAGCGGTAATCTGATTAGCAACCTGCCGCCTTTCCCACCGCGAGCCTGACAACCGTCACCACTCCCGCTGCCCCTCCCCCCCCAGAGGCCCCCCCGCTGTCAGCGCGCTAACGGACAGGAATGCCGTTTAGACGCACAGGAGGCGGGGGCTCACAGCTGACAGGTTCAGTGCCTGTGTGACCGGGGGGGGGGGAGGCCTTTCCAGCAGCTGCTGTGAACACCGGGTGAACAAGTGACAAGTCATATTACATCCAAATTACAGCTAAATTACTGCTGCCCTGTTGTAAGTGAGGAGAAGCCCTTCAGGGGGCAGCAGAGAGCGCGGGGAAGTGCAGGGCGCTGCGCTGCAGTGCGCAGGAGTCTGGCTGACCTGGGGTCACAGCCCCGACGTCTCCGTGGAAGAGTAATTAGAAAGAGGATCGTCTTCCGACTTTGCGGGAAAAGTTTGGTTAATTAAACACCCTGGCACTCTATTGTGGTGTCGGTGAGAAGCACTGTCAGGCCGCTGGCCCCATCGCTGACCCCTGCAGGCTGCCTGCTGTAATTGCTGCAGAGACTTAGAGTCGCGGGTCATGGCTGCTCTCACAATCTGCGGGGAGAGGCTAATTAAGTGAGGGGGAGGGGCGTACGGGCTCATCCCATCCCCGCCCCGAGACTCTTATGTTGTCAGGACACAGGCTGGGCTGCGAAACACGAAGTACACAGGAAAGGCAGGCTGTGTACGAACGGCAGGCTGTGTACGAAAGGCAGGCTGTGTACAAACGTCAGGTTGTGTACAAATGTCAGGTTGTGTACAAACGTCAGGTTGTGTACGAAAGGCAGGCTGTGTACGAAAGGCAGGTTGTGTACGAAAGGCAGCTGAATTTTTCTTTAATAGTCAGTCTAAGTGCCAGTTATTCGCAGACACATGAAATTCACCAAAGAGGCCCCCACTTAAGAACATTCTGTGAGTGAGTGATGAAGCACTGGCCTGCACTCTCCGCCGCCCTGCTGACTCACAGATCGGTCACATCTGCTGTGACCCATGGCCTCTCTCTTCTTCTCATGATGGTGGGCTGGCTCTGTCCTCTCGAAGGGGGCAGGCATCCTGCCCTGAGGACCTGCTGGGGATCTTCTGTGAGCAGGATGGTGATCTTTGTTGAAAATCGACATTTACTTACATTTACTTGGCAAAAGCCTTAATCCAAAGTGGCTTGTTTCTGAAAGGCAGTAGGGTCAGCCTGTCTCTGTGACAGCTGGAGATTAAGGGTCTTGCTCAAGAGCCCAATGGTGACATCACTCTGCCAACTCTGGGATTTGAACCACTGACTTTCTGATCACAATCAGCACAGTCTCCTAGCTCACTGAGCTGCGCACCAGTGCCTGCGCATTCTGCTCTCTTTCCAGCTCCCTGCCCATCTGAAATGCTCTTACATCCCGGAATGTCCCGGACGTACGCGGTGAGGTCACGCTGCCAGCGGAGCGCTGCTCGTTAAACAGGGCTGCGTTCCACGGCACTGGCTTCCTGGTAATTGCAGGAATATCTGTGCTCATTCTCAATCCGGGTTCCTGACAGCCTCCATGCCGCCTTTTCAGCATCGAACGAGTCACACTGAGACTGGGGGATTTTTCTGCAGGTATCTGGTGTTCGAATGTGAGACCCCCCCCCCACCTAAGGTCCACACTGCATTTCTATAAAAGGACCCATTGGACACTTCAGGCTTAATTAGGCAAAGCGTGTGATTTCCCTGATTGGCGGTGCGTGCTTGGACTGCCTCACTGTCTCTAGTGGGAGGGGGGTTTGGATGGTTTACCCCCCCCCCCCCC